AGTCCGAATAATGTAAATAATGCAAGTAATTTGGGAAGTGTTTTAGCAACACTGAAATCCGAAGGCACATTGGGAATAGCCAATAATGCTTTCCATTAGCTAAGAAACCAGAAAAAGAATCGTTAGAAACATAGAAAAGAGTAATGAATGCAATATTTGTCCTCCTATATGGCAATGAATGCTGGGTAATATCCTCACAGATGAAGAAGAATCTTGAAGTAACAGAAATGTTGTTCTACAGAAGGATGCTGAGAATATCATGGACCGAACACGTGAGCAACGACGAAGTTTTAGAGGAAAACAAAAATGATACTTATATTTAACATCAAGAAAAGACAGTTTACATTTCTAAGCGCATAATGTAGAAAGAGGGCTTGGAAATTTTGATACTCACAGGACACATTGAAGGCAAGAAGAAGGAGAAAGGTAACGCATAACTGACTAAGCAAGCAGGAGTAAATGGATGGTGGAACAAGGTTTAGAAGAGATAAGAAAAAAGCCAAATTTATTAAGAGCTACCAAGAAAAGGAAATTATGGAGAGCCATCATCGCTTATGTTCTGACGAGACACGGCACATAGAAGAAGCCGGAACGTCACAAACCTCTCGCGGTTCTTTCGCTCTTTCCCGGACAAATGTTCAGGATAATGTCCATGATATAGTTCCACCAGTTCAGACCAAAGCTAGGACATTTCATGTCACTTCCACGGAATCGAGTCATCCTCATTTCCTCCGAATTCCAAGTGTAAGGAGAAAGTCCCGCTATTTTCCCTTGAACTGTTAATTTGTGGAAGAGAATTATGTGCGCATTTCCCGGATACCATAATCTTAACAACTTTAAGTCAATGATTACACTTTATCTATCTATCCTTCTTATCCTCATAATCTTCAATTCCTACCACCTACTGTTACACACGTAATTCAGTAACGTTCTATCTTGAATAGAACGTTGTATTGGGTGTAAAATTAGTATATACTAAGATCCAATTGAACGTACTAAATAGCGAAAGGCTTAGCAAAACTAGATTGCTAACTGTTTGCTATTTACCCATAGCTGAGGGGGGGAGTACTAAATTACTATAAAATATATACCTTTGCTAAGTACTAAATTAAGAAAAATATATGCCTTTGCTAACTACTAAATTAACATCAAATATATGCCTTTGCTAAGTACTAAACATCAAATATATGCCTTTGCTAAGTACTAAACATCAAATATATGCCTTTGCTAAGTACTAAATTATCAAAAAATACATGCCTTTGCTAAGTACTAAATTAACATCAAATATATGCCTTTGCTAAATACTAAATAAACATAAAATATATGCCATTGCTAAGTACTAAATTAACATCAAATATATGCCTTTGCTAAGTGCAAAATTAACATCAAATATATGCCTTTGCTAAGTGCAAAATTAACATAAAAAATATACCCTTTCTAAGTACTAAATTAACATTAAATATATGCCTTTGCTAAGTACTAAATTATCGTCAAATATATGCCTTTGCTAAGTACTAAATTATCGTCAAATGTATGCCTTTGCTAAGTACTAAATTAACATAGGACCAGCTTGCTAGATTTGAAACTGCCATCAATCCAGATATTCATAACTATATGTAATTTTGTTCTGCTTTAAAATCATATACAGGGAGTTCTAAAGAAGGTATACAGTGATGAAAAACAAAACGTATTGATTATAGATGCATATCAATAATAAACATACCAATCGCTGAAATGTTTAAACTATTTACCCTCATCATTTACACCCTCCTTTTTACCTACAAAATGTTTATTATTATTATTATTTATTATAAAAATAAAAATTATAATAAATGTATTATAATAAAAATTATGAAAATAAAAAAAATATTAAACTGATTTTAATGAATTATATGAATTCTAGTAATATTTTTTAACTGCTTTCACCCCAAGAAAGGCAGTAAAGTCACTAAGACACAAGGGGTTATAGGGTGTGGAAGAATTAGAAAACTGAAACCTTAATAATAAGCGGGAAGAGGAAAGAGTAATGAGGAGGACAGCAGATACTGATTGACATTGCATTTAAATTTTTACAGATTAAAATTGGAAGGGAGTTCTACAAACTGTTCCCTTAATCTCTCTTCTTTCATTGACCCCTCTCTTTAATAAAGTTTTTTCTCAAAGTCTTTTACACTAAGTCATCCATTTTGTCTTACTGTCTTTATCGCTTTGTTTGAGTTGAAATGATTAGCAATAATGGAAACGGAATAAGTGAACTAAGTATGAATTTAGTTATAATTTCTGAGATGTTTTTCTTATAAACATGTTAACAGTTCTTCAAGAAATTTGCCCTCAACCAGTCATTTGGGCGAGGATCATATTAGTGGCATTTTATACTTGTAGGTTGGCAGCGAATGCTGGACAATCTCCTCAAAGATGAAGAAGAGACTTGAAGCAAAAGAAATGTGGTTCTACTGAAAGATGCTGAGGATACAAAATGATTTAATATTTTCATTACAAATTTGGGGAGGTATTAACCAATGAATGGATTCCAATGGTTAATGAAAGTGGCTAGCACTGAGGTAGTTAAAAACACATAAATTTAAGAAAAATTCCAGTAACCGCAGACATTAGGGAGTGCTTCTTTTAATATAAGTTATAGCATGCTTTCACGGAATGCAATCTTGTAAAGAAGTCTCGAATATAGAAAACAAACAGAAGCGCGAAACAATAATGTAAGCATCAATAATAATAATAATAATAATAATAATAATAATAATAATAATGCATACAAATATACGGCTTGTACTCGTATAAAAGTCGATTAAGGCCAAGATAAAGGTCGATTAAGGTCAAGTATTTTTATGGTCGAGACATCATGAATTCATCGACCGATCCCAGTTTTTCATTAGAAACGCACAACAAATCACTATAACAAGGTATCAGCATTAAAACAAAAAGACACAATCCAAGCAGCAGTAGCCAGAAGCAGCAGCCAGGAGTGTGCGAGTCCAATACAGTGATTGTCATTGATTTTGAAGCCGTTAGTGACAACAGAAACAATGAAAATTACATAATTTTATATCGAAACTCGACAAATATCAACAAAAATTGTTTGACATTACTATTCTAGGTAAACAATTTCTGAAAACGGAATATTTAAAAAGTATGTCATGGTCTGTCTGCCTTTCATTTTATCAATTTACAAATACACACTAATATTATTCGTAGTCTTGCACTAGCGACACATTGACAGGATGCAACAATCGACACTTAACTCTACTGCCAATCCGAAATCGAAAAAGAAAAAAAAATGTAAATTCCAAAAAGCATCTGATCGCAAGATATAGAAGATTGTGTACATGAATTAATTGTAATATTTTTGAAAAAAAAAAAATAAATGGCGAATTTTTGAAGTTGTTACAATCCTTTCCCAACTTACACGGATTTCATTTTAATTAATTTATCATTTAATACATAGGCAAAAATGTTAATTCGTATTCTGTCATTACATAGCATTAAGAGTGTTTAGCTTTAACTAATTTAATTAAAACAATCTCTTTTGATAGGATTCTGGTCGCTGTCATAATATGAGCTTCTTTTTTTAATTTTCAAAATCTCATTTTTGTTTATTAATAATAACATTGATGATAGAAGACAATAAGCATTTACAACATAATTTTTAATTAAAGAAAGATAAAAAATTCAGCCTATTTATTTATTTCAGAAATGTAAACTTTTCAGCCTATATTTATAATTAAGAAATGTAAACTTTTTAGCCTATATTCTTATTTAAGAAATGTAAACTTTTCGGCCTATATTTATAAATAAGAAATGTAAACTTTTCAGCCTATATTTATATTTAAGAAATGTAAACTTTTCAGCTTATAGTCTTCTTAAGGAAATATAAAATTTTCAGTCTATATTCTTATTTAAGAAATGTAAACTTTGCAGCCTATATTCTTATTTAAGAAATGTAAACTTTTCAGCCTATATTCTGATTTAAGAGTTGTAAAAATACAAATTAAATGAAAAAATATACAGTTTATGGATAAATTATTGTAAATTATTGATAATGGCAAAATGATTTCTTACGGAAATATTCTTCGCGGTTATGATAACCAATTAAAGTCTATATGGATTAATTGATACATTACTTGCAAAAACCAATGATATACGCTGCTGACATATTCAAAATATTTACATTATTTAAATTCGGACTATTGTCCGCTTCTTTGTTGTCGTTGTCACAACGTTTCGATCACTGAGTCCTCTGGTCTTCATGAGGTGTATGTCGACACAGGCAATTTGGTAGTGAACACTTTATATAATCTATGGGTGCAGATTGTTTTCGTTCCACTACCCATGTCTAGGGAACTCTTGTCTAGTTCTTATTCTGCTCAGTGTTCGTTCCGTTTCCACGCTGGCAACGGACTGAACTCACAATTCAGGAACCAGCGTTTTAGTCCATTAGTCTATTGAAACGTGGCAAGAAATAACTGAACAGAAAAAAAACAAACTAGACGAGATGTCCCTAGAGATGGACAGTGGAACGGGAATATTCTACCCACCCACACTCTAGATTAAATAAAGATTTCAGTTCGAAATTCTCTGTAGGTTACTCAGATCATCATTAGATATGTTGAAGGCCGGAGAATACAACATCCGAAACGTTGTGATAACAATAACAAAAATGAAAGCAATAGCCCGTATGTAAATAATGTTAAGTCCTCATCCCTATATCCATAGATAAATACGAACAGGCGATCTATCTATCTATCTATCTATCTATCTATCTATCTATCTATCTATCTATCTATGTCCGGCTGTTCCAATCTATCTATCTATCTATCTATCTATCTATCTATCTATCTATCTATCTATCTATTTTACTTAAAACATTGCTCTTAAAGAAACTTGATTTATACATGAACACCGACAGTGTTTCTATTTCATGATCAAAACCAATGTAGAGAAATTTGATCTGACGTATGCAAGAGAAATGAATTCAAACAAGACAGATGTCCGTCTGTTTCAATCTATCTATCTATCTATCTATCTATCTATCTATCTATCTATCTATCTATCTATGTCCGGCTGTTCCAATCTATCTATCTATCTATCTATCTATCTATCTATCTATCTATCTATCTATACTTAAAACATTGCTCTTAAAGAAACTCGATTTATACATGAACACCGACAGTGTTTCTATTTCATGATCAAAACCAATGTAGAGAAATTTGATCTGACGTATGCAAGAGAAATGAATTCAAACAAGACAGATGAACGCTGGTAACAAAATCAAGGCCGCCTGTGTTACAATTTAGACACAAGCATGGAGTCACATTGACAAACGATGCAAACGCTAATCTCCGCATCACAATATACGACTATTTCTATAATTAATAATCATAATAATTATAATCATAATAATATATAGTTTAATATGTGTATTTCTGCACGTGCATACACGAAAGACAATAAAGGCATTGAACTTAAATATTTATACAGCTATAAAAGAGTAAAAATCCATGCATGCCGACATGATGGCTTCTAACTCGCTGTACGGAGATAGACAACAGGTAAAGCATGATTGTATCTGCACGATAGTTGAGAGTCGCAAATCTGACTATTGTCAACAACAAGCAACCTTAATCCAATAACAATCAGTCAAGACAATTGTAGGTTGCTAGGAACCCACACTCAAGAGCACGCTGTTAGTAACTTTCATTGAGATTGAGTACCTTTTCGTTTTAAGCTGATATATCGATATGTTATGAGGCGTTTAAGTGGGCAAGAAAAAGACTTGGACAGCACGAATAGCGTTCTATGAACAATGATAGATGCAGTTTAACGTTACAGCCAAAACATCTACATGCATGCATAAATACACTTGAAGAATATATAATTGTATGATTCGATTATATTTAGTTCATTCATTCACTTTCACACACACACACACACACACACACTCTCTCTCTTATCTATCTATCTATCTATCTATCTATCTATCTATCTATCTAAGTCTTTTAATATGTATTTATGTATCTATCTCAATATGTTCATATCTATCATATCAATCTGCTCATGGTATTCTATCACAGTCTATGAATATCTATCTATCTATCTATCTATCTATCTATCTATCTATCTATCTATACTGGGTGCATTGGGTAAATTACCACCATTATGTATTTTTAATTTCGCGCATGAGTGTTGTTTGTTTTTTATTTTGTCGACTGCACATTATAGTAGGGTCAGTTGGGCATCGTCTCTTAGAAAAAAGAGCCCCATAACGTAATTTATTCGGCCTGCAATTTATTCTACCTGAAATTTGGAAGCGGCATGCTGTACTGCTTGGCATTCGCGACGGAAGGTCTAATACGAGCATTTTAGCGTGTTTGGCTGTCAATCTGAGGAAAGTGCAGGGGATTAGTAAAGAGTTGGATAAGTTTAATGGTGATTACGAAGTGCCTTAAGTGGGTAGTGCTGCTCTGGGTCAATAGGATAGCTATTGGAAGATCCTGTGTCAGACAACAGGACTCTGCAACGTGTTACACAAGCAGGAGAACCTAGTCATGGCTGTCAGACAATTTCTGCGACCGCATGACTCCTTACTCCCTAGAATGCAATCGCCTTCATTATTATGTGTGGGGTGCAGTTGAGCGAGAGACCAACAAAGCACTTTGTAGCACCAAAGATGAACTGAAGGCAAGGATTATGGCAGTATTTCCCAACATAAACAAAGAGACCCTCCAGAAGGGTTGAAGCAGATTCCGAAGTCGTTTGGAGGGCGTGGTTGAAGCCAATGGCGATTTTATTGAATAAACCTACTCTTTAGTATTTCAAGATATTTTTGTGTAATTTAAAATACATCTGTTAAAGGGAGATGTCAGTATTATTTTCATTTTTGCGTAATCTAGACGACAATTTATCCATCGCAATCTATCTATCTATCTAACTATATATATATATATATATATATATATATATATATATATATATATATGTATGTATGTATGTATAAGTAAAAATTTCAAACTAAATAAAATTAACAGCATATAAAGACCAAGAATAAGTGTACATTGGTTCCACAGAAGGAAGGTTGAAAAGGAGATATTATAATCACAAATCTTCCTTTGAAGCTAGAAAGGCACAGAGACAACACACAACTTGCTATTCATGTATGGCAAGCAAAGGGAAAAATAATAAAAGCCCCATTGTGAAATTGCATGTGTTGAGAAAAACCCGGTGATGATATTATACACTGAACAGCATAAGTTGCATACAGAGATTCAAGGAGATTCTCAGTAGAAAACTGGGTAAGCATACCATTGGAAAAGTTCGTAAACTTAAGGAATCAGCACATATGCTAGGCCATAACAATCACCTGAGCCGACCAAGCATAGAAATGAATACAATATGGGAACCAGTAATAAGGAGTGTCAAAGAAAAGCGATAATAACAACAAAAGTTGCAATATGAGCTCTGGTAAAAACATGGAATGTTAACAACAAAAAATTGCAATATGTGCACTGGTAAAAATGGTTGCTGAAGACATTAGGTTTATAATACCCAGAAATTCATAGACAAGGACACATGGCACAGTGGATAAAGGCGTTGGTTAGATCCAGTGACAGGACCCAAAGAGTGTGAGTTCAATACTGGTTAAGGCAGTGGAGAACTTTCAGAGGGAAATTAACAGGAGATAACTGATAACTGACATCCATTAAACATGGCGCATGGAACGTTCTAGTTCCATGCGCCATGTGAGCGAAATAAAGGGTTCAGTTCGACATTCCAACCACCTGAAGAAGGCTGGAGCGTACAACAACCGAAACGTTGTAATAAATATGGCGACAAAGATGAGGACAATATTCCGAATAATATATATAGTGTACATAATATCTCTTCTCAGAAATATAGACAGATACTGAAGAATATTTATATAAAACATCTAATTTCTTTTTCTGTTCTCTCTTTGCTTCTTTCTTTCGCCACTTTACCATCGACATAATTGTGTATATAAGATTGTCTTGGTATGGAACATAAAATTATACTGCGTGACATTATCTAATTGATAGAAACTGCGACAGCAAGAAAGTTCGCTTTCCAAATATTTTATGTTAATTTCTCTACATTTTTGTATTTTTGAAAATTGTATTCAGGGATTTTTCATTAATTTACCGGTTTTTGGCAAAGAATGTATTTTTGCCAAAAGTTGGATTTTTTCAATTCAACTCATATATATATATATATATATATATATATATATATATATATATATATATATATATATATATATATACATCGAGCCAAGGCCGGATTTTCAGCTGCAACTTCTGCGACCGTGTATGCCTGTAAACGTGCCGGTATGCAACGTGTACAGACACTCTCTTGATCTTCGTTTTGCGAAGTCAAACCATGATATATATATATTATATATATATTTGGTTAGATTGATATATATATATATACTATCGACCTAATGGCATCAAAGACAGTGTTTATAGTGTTTATTCATTATTCTATCTTTGTGACTTTATCAGTCTCACAGTATGTGATATATATATATATATATATATATATATATATATATATATATATATATATATATATATATATATAGATAGATAGATAGATAGATAGATAGATAGATAGATAGATAGATAGATAGATAAGAATAGACAAAGACTATATAGATAGTAACTGAGATAGATATGGCCAAGTATCGGTATAAACAGATTAGAATACATAGGAAGACACACACACACACACACACACACACACACATATATATATATATATATATATATATATCAAAATAGGTAGATTGATAAATAGATAGATTGATAGATATAATTATATAAATATGAAAGACCGCCCAGGGAAAAATAAATGAATAAAATAAAAAACAAAAACAAAAATGGAATTAAATTTCGTGACAAAGTAAAGCTGAAAAACTGTTCCATATTTTTTTCTATTCGATGAACATGATATCTGCTGCTGTTTTCTTCGTTTTCCCGTCCTCATTGCACAGAGTTTAGTGCACACATCATTCGTCACTATTTTCATTATTTCGTCTGCTTTTTTTTTTAGATTTGCTGATATTAATACTATATTTCGCCAGATGAATTCTTCGTCATTCCCCCAGATCCATTATTTACCGGTTTTCAATCTTTTGAATCGTATTTAAAAAAAAATTTTTTTATCTTAATATTAGTTTCTCGGGTTGAGTGCATTATCTAATGTGGTCAACTATTTGAACAAGGCCCACACACTCAAACCCTCGGTCACGATGACTTATGACTTCGTGCTAGCACAGCCATCGACATCTTCCAAATAATTTCATCTACCCAATTTCACTCACAAAGTTATCCGTGGTATGGCACTTTCAGGCACTTTCCAAAGTTGCTGCACATTGGGACCGCCTCCTGATAAATCCACCATGATGAAATTCGAACCTCGGCCTCATGGTCAGAAAACGAACATTTTACCCTGTCAGCCACGTGCTCATAATTTTTAGATCCGGCTCTGTAAAAATCGAAAATATTTTTGATACACCCTTATATATAATATTAAAAAACCCCTAATGTATGATATTAATAAATAAATTTATTTAATACAGTCGTTAGATGTATACAAGAAATGCCCTATCGAATACGGGTCTATAAACACGGAAATATCTTTAATACTCGATAATAATAATAATAATAATAATAATAGGACCTGTAACAATTTTATGGGACTCCACAATATTGATAGATATAATTGATATAAATCTGAAAGACCGCCCAGGAAAGAATAATCAAAGCTAATGGCACATACATCGTTATTAGAGACTGCAAACAAAACAAAATTGCCTCCTTATTGATATAGCAGACTGCTGTGTATCTTTAAAGATCTCCAAAAATCTATCAAAATACAAGGACCTTGAAATCGAAATCTCAAAAATGTGGCACAAGGCAACATCAACAATCCCTGTTGTAGTTGGTGCCTTCGGATTGGTTGGAAATTATTCCAGTAGACTAATTGAAGGGATTCCTGGCAGCCCATGCCTGAAAGAAATACAAAAAAAAAAAACTGTTCTCACGAGTACAGCCCACACGTTACGAAGGGCTTTATCTATGTAAAATATGTATAATTGTTTTTCCAAATTGCTCAGTGGAAAATGTCATGATGCCATTGCTGAACTTAAGTTTCTGGTCGGAGCCCGGAAAGAAATGAATACACACCAGAAATCAAAGGAAATAAAAGAATAATATTAAACTTCGATAATTTCCTATTAAAATTGTTAAGCAATACAGGATATGAGTATAAGATCAAAGGTAACAGCATGAATCATCTATTTTATATGGATGACTTGAAATTATATGCAAAAAATGTGGATGAATTGGAAGGACTTTAAAGCCTGTGAAAAGTTCCAGGCAAATGCATGGAATTTTGCCCGGATAAATGTGCAAAGGCCATATTCAACTGCGGAAACCTTATTAGTAGCTAAAATTTAATTCTTGATATAGATTGATTGTTTTTTTGACGGCTTATCAACCCTTTGCAGGCCTTTTAAAACCAGAAAATATTGTTTTAGATTGTAAGAATTCTTTGTGCGATAATAATGATTTAGTTATACACGTCTTACTATTTAACCCATAGCTGAGGGAGAAGAGGTGGATTCATAACTTTCCCAAGGATATTTGCGCGTAAGTGAATATAACAAACTCAACTAGAACTCGGCCCGCCGATTAACAATTTTGTGCCACTATCCACTACACCACCCGCACACCCAAGCTTACAGCACCTAGTATTCGCCAGGCTCCTTGATATAGATACTATGGTTAAGGAACTGAAGAAATAAGATATTTATAAGCATCTGGGTGAAAATGAAGGCAATGTCATACAGTAATTGAAGACGAAGGAAAAATTAGAAAGAAGTGTCTCAGTTAAATGCGAGTAATAATGAAAAATAAATTGAAGTCTAAAAATATAATAGCGGCCATTGGCAGTCTTGCTATCTCAGTTGTAAACCGTCTTCAAAATAATTAATTAGGACTTAAAAGAACTCAAGAAAATTATTTTTATAATAATAATAATAATTCATAGACGATCCTTAGATGTATAAAATAAATGATTTTTGGAAAACTGATCTATAAAAAGACGGAAATATTTTTATACA